TGAACTTTCTCCCCTTCAAACTGCCTTCAGCAAATGATTTCAGTATATTGAGGCAGTTTCTCTTATCTCACAGGAACCTAGCTGGCCTTAGGTATACAGATCCCAGGTGCTAAGCCAGGCCTGATCTTTGGGATGTAGATGCCTGGCTCCAGGCTGGCTGATTTTGTAGATTCCAAGCTCTAGCAGACTGGTCTTTGTTGTGCTAATCTAAGTGCTTGTAGCTTGAAAAAGGTGAGGCCAGGTTTACTGGCCTGCGGATGTAAAGAAACAATGTATGGTTTGCCGCCTCAACTCCTTTTGATGACATCACTATATTGCGCCCTTTAGAGGTACTATGATCTATATAAGGAAAATTTTAGGGCCCTCTGGGGGACACGTGCATCAGAGAACCTGGGAAGATGGGGCTGAGGACAGAAGCTGAGAGAACAAAGGCGCACATGCTTGAGAGATCCTGGGGCCTCCATGACATACATCTCTTCCATGTAATAAACTGCTGCTAAGACCAACCAGCCTGGCCCTCGTTTCCTTCCCTCACCTGACCATCGCCATCGACCTCCCTGGAGTGAGGAAATGGCCTGATCGCCGGCCTTTTTATTTTTTGTGTTTACACATGTGGTGTCAAAATTTTGAATGTGATCAAAGTATAGAGAGAGTGATTTGGAAATCATCTACCCCACAGGTAGGGGGAGGGTGTGGGATGGGTGTTGGGATCGGGAGTTCCCTAGCCCTGGGAGGCGCGGAGAGACCAGATAGACACAATTCCTACAGGAGTAAAAACGGGGTTTATTTAGACCAGCATGCTGGGGCTCCACAGCATACCCCAGAGAGAGCAGTGGCTGAGAGCCCCGAACTTCTTCAAAGGAGATCTTATATAGGCCTTCACTGGCCGTTACAGCAAAGCCCGCGCATTTCATAGCCAATAGATTTGTAACAACATATACTTTCTTAACCAATCCATTTAAAAGTACCTCACTCCTTAGCCTATAGATTCAAAGATCGGCATTTACATACATCGATTGTCAGCACAAGCAAGGTTATAGCCGGAATCATTAAGCCTTAGGTAATCTCCCTTGACCATCCTCATTTTGAGTTACCCAAGTCTGCAGGGTGCTTTAGTGAGACAATACACTCCAGGAAAGGGCAATTTCCCCCAACCACCCGCATCCTGAGTTATCCTTTACCCAAATCTGCAGGGTGCTTTACTGAGACAATACATTTCAGGAACAGTAAATACAACTAATCCTGTCACACTTGGTTTAGAAAGAAGTTATGCCCTGTTCATTTTCCAAGTCCCCTCTCCCCCAGGTGCAAAGCAGCCAAGCAGTTTTACAGAAAGCAATGTTGCAAGTTAGCTGAAGTACACAAAAATTTGATGCCCTAATATGGATTCTTTCATGGGAGCACACTGGGGTTTTTTGGTGGTGGAGAATGGGCACTGGTGAAGGTATGGGTGTTTCATTGTATGACCGAGACTTAAACCTGAAAGCTTTGTAACTGCTCTCATGGTGATTCAATAAATAAAATTATTTAAAAAATGGGGGGAAAAAAGTAAGGAGGAGTTCATGCAAAATTCAATCAGCCTAATCAGTGGCTGAATAAATAGCAGTACTCCTACATTTGCTCGAGCGGGCCCAGTAACGTCTCCATTGGAGACTTCGTTGTTACTGTGTCTGGCATATCGAATACTCTCGGTAGCTTGCCGGGCTCTTAAAAAAAAAAAAAGGAGGTTCTACTATCTTATATTCCTCTGGATGTGAGCACCATAACTAAACATGTGCAACACCCTGGTCATGGCAATCACCACATATCAACAACAATGGGAGTGGGGGGCAGAGGAAGATATACATACAGCTGTGATATAAATACAACTAGCAAAAGCACTGACAGTTAGCCTTTCAAAAGTAAGAACTTCAACTTTTCCTCAGACGTAGAAGTGAAAGGTTGGAGTGACGATATGGTTCTGTCTTCAGCTATCAAGGTAACAATTAAAGTTCCTAGATGTCAGTTGGAGCTGTGCCTGGAAAGATGACATTTGGTTGAAGCAGGAAGGGAGAGAATCTAGTGAGGAATTTAGAGAGTTAGAGAAGCCATAGATCTTCAGAAAGCAGGCAATGGTATAGAAGCCAGTTGTAAGAGAAAAGACGAAACATCCATCCATCATGTATTTGGTTGCTGAAAATGTACTCTTTTAGGTGATCGGTATTTGACAGTGAATATTTAGAGTCTAGAGTAAAACTTATCACTTAAAATCTTTGGCATGGAGGTCAGAGAAGTAGTACAGGGTTAGAGTGCATGCTACTGAGTCTAAATCGATTCCCTGCACCACCTGGCTTCCCCCCACGAGTATCAACATCTTCAACCTTGGAGACCTCTGAACACTACTTGGAAGTACCTTCCCTGAAAAAAAAATTTCTGACTGGGCCAGCGAGATAGCACAGGGTTTAGAATGCATATCTTGCATCTCACCAACTCAGATTCAAATCCCTAGCACGACTGAGCACAGAGCAGAAATAGCCCTTGAGCATCTCCACTTATGGCCCAACGCCCACCACCAACCCATTCCTACAAAAAAACAAAAAATAAAAATAAACCTGTGGTTTGCACATTACAGGAAATGATCACTCTGGATAAGAACTGCATGCTGAAAGTAGGTAAAGGACCAAACATGATAACCTCTCAGTATCTGTATTTCAAACCACAATGCTCAAAGAGCTTTGTTTTATAGTCTCTGGATCTTGGCTATTGATGAGATTACATGGCACAGGGGGCAGTTTGTGGGCATGACTGCCTAGCTACTGGAAAATGGGGGATCTGGGTGGAGGAGGCCGAGTCCCGATCCAAGCAAGCTTGGAGATCTCAGCCCTGGGTCCCGCACACCTGGGTTCCTTTGCCAGTTTCTTCATGCGTGAGGCTCATCCAAGCGTGTGGAGAGTGGCCTTGAGCATGGATGTGGTTGGATTCCAGAGATCTTCAGTTGTGTTGTCATTCACGGTGCAACCTCTTATAGTCTAGTTCTCCCTCTCAGAGAACACAGCAAGCTACTGAGAGTATCCTGTCCACAAGGCAGAGCCTGGCAAGCTCCCCGTGGTGTATTCAATATGCTATAAACAGTAACAATGATGGGTCTCATTCCCCTGACCCTGAAAGAGCCTCCACTGCGGCACGATTGGGAAGGACGAGTAAGGAGAGAATGCTAAAATCTCAGGGCTAGGACAAATAGAGACATTACTGGTGCACACCCAAGCAAATCAAGGAACAACGGGATGACAGTGATACAGTGAATGCTGAGAGAGAGAGAAAGAGAGAGAGAGAGAGAGAAGAAAAGTGCCTGCAATAGAGGTAGGCTGGGGGAGGAGGGGGCGGGGTAGGAGAGATACCAGGGACATTGGTGGTGGAAAATGTACACTGGTGGGAGGATGGGTGATAGAACACTGTATGACTGAAACCCAATCATGAGCAGCTTTGTAACTGTGTGTCTCATGGTGATTTAATTAACAACATCAACAACAAAACAAAAACTGGTCTGGACCCTATGCCCAGGGCAGCATTATTCACAAATCAAAACACAAAATCAACTTTGTGAGTGGATAAAGAACCTGTGGAATAATATTTACTCAATGGGATAAAGATGAACTCATGCCATTGGGAACAAAATGATGAAACTTGAGGTATACAGCTAAGTGAAACAAATGAGGAAGTGAAAGAAAACTGCCAGGTGGTTCCGCTCATATGTGAGCTATGAATGACTTAAGCAAGCAAACTGACAAAAAAAAAAAACCTAACGGAGGGACTAGAACACTCTGGTAGTTATTTGAGGGAAGTTAGAGAGGAGTTAGAGGGGCCTTTATGGCAATTGAAGTGGGTGGGAAATTATACACTCACAGAGGTGTAAAGCTAGTCACCCTAAAACTTCAAATTTTTGTAAGCTCTTTTTTTAAAATTAAAATGACTCAGAACAGATGACTGGTTAAAAAAACTTTGGTACATCTACACAGTGAAATACTATGCAGCTGTTAGAAAAGATGAAGTCATGAAATTTGCATATATGTGGATCAACATGGAAAGTATCATGTTAAGTGAAATGAGTCAGAAAGAGAGGGACAGACATAGAATGACTGCATTCATTTGTGGAAACAACAGAATGGGAGACTAACACCCAAGACTAGTAATAGTAGAGATAAGTACCAGGAGGATTACTCCACAGCTTGGAAGCTGGCCTCACATGCTGGGGAAAAAGGCAGCTCAGTTAGAGAAGGGACCACCAAGTAAAAGGTGCTAGGAGGGCCCAGTCGGGATGGGAGATACCTGTTGAAAGTAGACTATGGACCAGACGCGATGGTCACTTAATACCTCTACTGCAAACTACAACACCCAAAAGGAGAGAGGGAGGGAGTGAGGGGGGGGGAGAGAGAGAAGAGAGAGAGAGAGAGAGAGAGAGAGAGAGAGAGAGAGAGAGAGAGAGAGAGCACAAAAGGGAATGCCCTGCCACAGAGGCGGGGGTGGGAGTAGTGGGAAGGATACTGGGATCATTGGTGGTGGAGAATGGGCACTGGTGGAGGGATGGGTACTCATCATTGTATACTGAAATGCAAACACAAAAGTTTCTAAGCCTATAACTATACCTCATGGTGATTCATTAATAAAATATTATTTTTTAAAAAAAGACCCGGTCAACATCAACACTTCAAGTACTGAACAACCAGTGCCTCGGGCAGCTCAGAAGCAGGGCGGGGCCGGGCGGACACCCAGCGAGCCAGCTGCACGCAGCATCCTTTGGGTCCATGCTGCACCACAGAGCTACCTCCGTGCGTGTCCCCGCCGGCACCCTGCCCGGCGCGCCGAGGGTGGGGGGTGACCTCGGGGCTCGCCCGCCCCTCGCGCGAGCCACTCCCCCGGGAGAAGCGGCGCGGGCGCCTGCCACGGACCGAGGAGCGCCCTGCGATTGGCCGCGGCCTGTGCCGTCACCAGGAAGCGCCCGCCGCGGCCACCCGCTGCTTAGAGGCGCCTCCGCGGTGCAGCGGGTGCTGGTGCCCAGCGGTGGCGGCGCTAGGACGTGGTGCCGGCGTCCCCGCGCCCGCTGACCTTGGACCCTGGCCCCGCGAGCCCTCGCCCGACAGCGCAGGCGCCTGGCAGGACCAGCGCCGGCGGCCAGGTAGGGTGAGTCTGGACCTGGCCGGGCGGCCCCGGGGCTGCAGCCCCCTTCCCTCTTGTCCTCTCTCTGAGCATGGGACACAGTACACGGCCCGGGCCTCTCTGACCGTTTGCGCAGGCCCGGCCCACTTATGCAGGCGTCAGAGCTGGGCCCAGGGAGGGGACCGGGAGCCGCTGGCGCAAGGAGGGGACGTGTGTGCCAGCACAACCCGGCCTCCAGCCTCGGCCTCTTTGGAAGAAGTCCCGTTTTTCATCCTTGTTGCACGAGGCGAAGAGGACGCGCCAGGACCTCTTGCTGACTCTTACTTGGCACCTGGCCTCTCCTCTGCAAGCCTCAGTGCCCTCTGTCAAATGGGACGCCCTGCCCGAGGGTGCTGTGGAGGACACAATGAGAAGCCACCAGTGCCTGGTGGTCGGGAGGGCAGAGCCCAGCCTTCCCCCCAGTCAACGCCAGCAAGCCAGCAAGTGCCCGCCCCAACCCCAAGTGTGGCAGATGGGGTGGCCTGTGCCTCTAGAAGGGCTCTCTTGTAGGACCCACCCCACCACCCAGGACACGTGAGCCCAAGTCCAACATTTCATTGCCACCCAGATTTGGATTCCAGTCCTTGGGAACTTGGGCAAATCCATTGACCTCTAAGCCTTGGTGATTTCATCTGCAAAATAGAACTGATGGTTCGGCCTTTCACTGGGGAACCCCCCCCCCCCAAATAAAAAGAATGAAATCGGACACTGTTGGGGAAGTACGAAGTTCAGATTGGTTTTTCAGCTTGAGCAGTGACTGTTCTGGAATCTGTGGTGTGCAGGTCTTTTGGCCTTGCGCAGCCTTTTGACAGTGCTTGCATGGGAGAGGAGGGTGGGTGCTCTTTGACACCCCTGGTTTTCTGGTCCCACTCAACTGCCACCACAGGGATCAGATTGGTGACCTGGATCTGTTGGGACTTTGCCTGAGCAAAGCAGTTGGGTTGAGCAACAGGAGTCTGGGATTTGTATCGGCCTGACTGTTAAGGGTTGCTTTAGAGAGCAGGGAACCATGCAAGGATGCAGGAGGAGGCATGGAGCCAGACTTAGAGGCAGAACAAGAGAGTAGGCTCAGATTGGAGCCTGGCATTAAAAATGGGACCTTTGCCCTTTTCGCACCCTTGACTGATGGGAGAGGGAAGCCACCCAGCTCTCCCCTGCTGTCATGTTGGCTCAACCAACAGAGAAGCTAAGCCCTATCTCTGTGACAGGCACAGTGCTGGGAGAAAGGAAATGACTATTGTTTGGACAGCAAAGTTGAGGCTTCTAGAAGGCTGAGCGGCCTGGTGGGATTCTTACTTGGTCATGTAAGCGCTAGGAAGCATTTGAAGTAGGAGGGTAACAGGATCAATGTGCCATTTCAAAATCACTCATGGGGGCAGGAGCGATAGTACAGTGGGTAGAGCATTTGCTTTGCACATAGGGCCTAGGTTCAATCCCTGACGTCCCATACGGTCCCCTGAGCATCACCAGGAGTAATTCCTGAATGCAGAGCCTGAGCATCATTGGATATGAGCCAAGACAAAATGATAAAATAAAAAAAAACAGCTCATGGCAGCTGCAGTAGGTAGTTGCCCATGCATTAGATGTGCCCTTCTCTCCACAGGCTCCGATGCTGGTCTCCGGAAGAAGGGTGCTTACAACTCTGCTACGGACCCAGAGGTGGCGCTACCAACCAGCCAGGGACATGCGACTGGTACAGTTCCAGACAGCCCACCTGAAGGGACCGCACCTGGGCCTGGAGTCAGGGAATGGCGGCGGGGTCATCAACCTCAATGCCTTTGATCCCACACTGCCCAAGACGATGATGGAGTTCCTGGAGCAGGGAGAGGCCACATTCTCCATAGCAAAAAGGTGCATTAGCAGGCAGCCTTCTGGCCTTGCTTCTCTGCTCACCCTGGGAAACAACCAGCAGGCGGCACTTGCAGGGGAGCAGGCCCACCTGCCTTTCCTTTCTCCCTGTTCTTTGGGTGAAGAGCCTTAGAAATCTGATCTTTGGGGCTGGAAAAATAGTAAAGCAGGTACGGCATTTGCCTTGCATGGGCCTGACCCGGGTTCAACCCCCAACATCTCATATGGCCCTGAATGCAGAGCCAGGAGTAACCCCTGAGTATCACTGGGTATTGTCCCCTCCAGAGAGAGAGAGAGAGAAAGAAAAAAGAGAGAGAGAGATTTGATAGGGTTGTCTACAGAGGGTGAAACTGAGGCCAGGGGTGGGTGACTGTCCCATGCTCAGACCTTTGGTGGCAGAGCCAAAACTTGGCCTGCCTACTATAGTGGTCTGCAACTTTAGTGTCCTCAGAGAAGTCCTGAGAAGCTGGGGGAGTGCTGGAATTCCAAATTCCTTAGAGGAGAGAGGACTGCAAATTAGTTAGGAGCTGGGTGCCCTATGAAAGCTGGTCTAAAGGTATTGATGAAAAGTTAATTAAAAACCACTTTGAGGGCTGGAATGATAGTACAAAAAGTATGGCTTTTGCCTGGCCTATGGCTGACCCAGGTTCGATCCCCCAAACAACGCCAGAAGTAATTCCTGAGTGCGGAGCCAGGAGTAACCCTCAAGCATCACCAGTTGTGACCCCAAAACAAAAACAGAAAAACAAAAAAAAATCGACTTTGAGATAAAAAAAAAAAATCCACCGATCCACCGATGAAACTGGCAGAAATGTTAGTGCAGCATGGGCAGCAGTATGCTTTCCATACTCTCGTAGTGGCTGGGATCGGAAATTACTTCCATGCTCCTCCCTAGAGCATGGGGCTATCTCTGCCACGTAGCAATACAAAGATGTGTGTGTGTGTGTGTGTGTGTGTGTGTGTGTGTGTGTGTGCGCGCGCGCAAATGTACATGTGCACACGTGCACATGTAAGGTGTACAGGATGTGTTGTTATTTGTACAAGAAATAGCTAGAAGTGTACTCTGTACCTGAAGAGCTGTCCCAAGGACTTGTGGGTCTCCTGAGTGTGACCTGCATTCTCCAAGAACAGACTAGAAAGATGGAGAGAGAACACCATGGTTCCCGTCTATGCCTTTTGAGTTCTCTGGCAGGAATATTATTATGTAATACGGGGAAAGAAATCAAGAGATCAGCAGTGCTCTGATAGCAAAGGTTTGGTTTCCACACTAACTGATGATTGTAGTTCTGAACATTCTAATAGAATAGCATCCCCCTATAGCTGCTGCAAGGCCTCTCCAGTGTTTTCCCAGCCTGTCCCCAGCCTGTTCCTGTATTCCTCTGGTCTCTGTAGGGCCCTGGGTGCCCAGCTGCCAGTCCTAGCACGGTCAGAGGTGACCTTCCTGGCTCCAGTCACACGGCCAGACAAGGTGGTGTGTGTGGGCATGAATTATGTGGACCACTGCAAAGAGCAGAACGTGCGCGTGCCCAAGGAGCCCATCATCTTCAGCAAGTTCGGCAGCTCCATCGTGGGCCCCTACGACGACATCCTCCTCCCTCCTGAGAGTCAGGTTGGTGCCTCCCCACCGCCCTTCCCAAACCCTCTGTCTTCATCTAGCCAAAGGGAGCCTCTGTCACTTGTCACTCTGACACATTAAACAGGTGACAGGCTGCCTGGAGAAATTATTTTGTATCTTTCACTGATTAAGAAAGTAACATAGCTACATTACAGGAAATTCATAGAACTTAGATAAATATAAAAATTAAGTCACCTGTTCTCCCATTGCTCAAGTTGGTAGTGTTCTGCTGTATTTTCCCAGTCCCATACTTACTTGCATTGTGCACAAACTTACCAATTACATAGGACATCATCAAGAACATTTTTCATGCCATTAAATATTCTCTACAGAAAATTTCGGTTACTACTTTGTTTTCAGTGGCCATGAATTTATTCAGTAATCTGGATACTTCCAGTTTTAGAATTTTATAAATAAAGTTGCAGTTACTGTCTTTTTAAATGTTAATTTCCTTTGAATAAGCTTTGATTGTGTCAAAGTCTAGGTAGTGTTTCAGAACTTGTCTGAAATTGATCTAGCATGAACATCAGAAGATATAATAGCAATTCACATGTCCATCCTTAAAAAACACTGATTTAAAAAAAAACACTGATTTTTCTCTCTCAAATTTTTAAATATTTTGGAAATTATAGGAAAGCTAAAAAATAATAGACACTATTCCCCTGAGTTCACATAAACATTTTTTCATATTTGCTCTTCCTCTCCCTCCCACTCTTCCTGCCTCCTTTTTCTCTCTCCCTTTCTCTCCCTACTCACACACACAACGGTATTTTATTGGGGAAGAAGGGCCTGAGAGAGGAGTAGAGAACTTTGACCAATGCTGACGGAGCTTTCATAGAAACTTCAGCATGCATCACCTTCTAAGATTTCTTCTAAGAACAATGTCTAATGACCATAATGCATTATCATAACTGAAAAATTTAACCTTAGTAAATTTATATACTTCAGTTGGGAATATTTCTGATTGCCCTCGGGATGCCAGGGACCCCAGTCAACTGGGCTCAAGACAAGCACCCTACCTGCTGTACTATCACTCTGGCCCAACCACTGATCCTTTTGTGTCACTAAGAATACCTATCTTGTATTTTTACTCAATTATTTGGTAAATTATCACATTCTTTTTGATGTTCAATAGTCCTTAACTGATCCACGCAAGGGCTTCCTTCAAGCTGGCTCCCATCCCCCATCACTTTCTCAGGATTCCTTGCATTCTTGCCAGAATATTTCAGGTTGATCTGTTTCAGACCTAGAATTAGGTAGTTCTCCCAAACACTAGTTCTAGTAGGAAGATCCTAGACAATAATAACAGGTTTAGGGTGTGTTCTCAGCAGCAACTCTGGTTGCTACCATTAGGCTATTTGAATGCTTAATTGTGTCTGTTTTGTAGTTGCACTTTGTTGATTAGGGAAGGGCTGAATGCTTTCATTTTGTCTGTATAGCCATGTGTGTTCCTATAAATTGCTTATTCAATCCATTTGCCCACACTTGTTTTGATGCATTAATTCTTAGTCGAATGAGTCTATCCAGGCACTTAGAGCACTGTCTGGCACACAGTGGTTTGCTGTTATTACTTGGTAATGATTTTTTTGGAGGAGTGACTTTATTCTTAGGCCCCAGACACTTTATTCTTCTTTAGTCAGAATGAGCAGCTATGCCTATATTCACTGGTACTATCTGCCACTGCCCAGAGCTTTGGGATCTATAAGTATCTCCCAAGTTGCTCACTCCACTCTGGCTGTAGTTACATATATGGCCAGTGGAGCCCCACAGTTAGAGGATTAGACCATGAGGCAATATCTGGCACCTCAACCTGGGTATGGGTCACTCACGGTTCCTTTCCCACTCTACAGGAGGTGGACTGGGAGGTGGAGTTGGCTGTGGTCATTGGAAAGAGAGGCAAGCACATTAAGGTGAGGAGGAAGGGGTGATAGTATCTGTCCCTTGCATTGGAAAGTGGTGAAACCAACCTCCTCCTCTGTCTTCTGACTGACCTGCCACCTTTGACTAGCTCTGGCCATTAATGCGGGGTTAAGGATTTGAGATCCTGTTACGGGGGTTGGTGTCACTGGGATCTAGCAACCCCCTGTTCCCCACAGGCCACAGATGCCATGGCTCATGTGGCTGGTTTCACTGTAGCACATGACGTGAGTGCTCGTGACTGGCAAATGAGACGCAATGGAAAACAGTGGCTTCTGGGAAAAACCTTTGACACCTTCTGCCCCTTGGGCCCTGCCTTGGTGACCAAGGATAGTATAGCAGGTAGGTCAGAAGGCCAACATGAAGACACCCTCCTTGTGCATGCACGCGCATACAAACACACACACACACACTCTCCCACCTGGTCTACCCCTGACAGGTGGGCCTGGCTTCTTCCAGCTGCTTCTGTCTAGAAGTCTGGGTTGGGAGAAAGCACAGCTGGCCCTTAAGCATCACAGAATGGCGGTCAAAAAGCCCACGCACTTGCGCAGTAAGGGAGATGCGAGAACATGAATGGGACCTTTCAGCCAGCATGCCCAGAGCAGCGCCAGCTTCAAGCAGCAAGGGTGGTGAGCCAGCAGGAAATATGGTAGCCCAGCCATGGAGGCTGCACATGGCCAGGCAGTTTCAGCCATATGCCATCCTGTGCAGTCATCGGTGAGATTAAATTATGTTCCAGCTGCTCTTAGGGGTGTGCTTGTGACTAAGACAGTCAGACCACCAATGAAAAAGTGAAGATAAAGGACTTCTTAGCCAGGACACCATTATAGGTAAGCTGACCCCTCTAACATCAGGTACGGGTGGTGTCACTGACCCTGCTCGTACTGGTCCCCGTTGCTCTGTAGATACTGAGTCATTTTGTTTTTTTAGTTGCCATCTTTGCCATGGATGGATATTTTTAAGGGAGAAAAATTAAAAAAGCCATCTGTCTCTCCCTTTTCAGGATCTGTGGTATGAGAGGTAGGAAGCCAAGCGTATTTGCGCAAAGTATCACCCACACCTATTCTCAGGATGTGCTGGGTCAAATCCATGGTGGGCACTCCTGGACTTGCCTGAGCAATCCTACCGGGGTGTTGTGGGGTGGAGATGGGAGGCAGGGGAATAAGACAATGGTGAAACGGGTCATACCTCACCCAAATAACCACTGGCAGTTGCTGTGCCAGGTGGTTGGATGCACAGAGGCCCGAGGAGGTCAGTTTCCATGGCAGGCAATGCCAAGTTGAAGTGGGAACAGAGTTCCTGGAGCATGTATAGATGGACCAACACACAGCCCATCACCTCTCAAGTCCTTAGGCCTCCTGGTGTTTTCATTTTGATTATTGGGAGAGGAGAAGGAAGAACTTCACATTGTTATTTTTGCATTTCAGATCCACACAACTTGAAGATCTGCTGTCGGGTGAATGGGGAGGTAGTCCAGAGCAGCAATACCAACCAGATGGTATTTAAGACGGAGGAGCTGATAGCCTGGGTCTCCCAGTAAGTGGGACGAGGCCTTGCCTCATGACCTAACTGTATACTGAGCTGGTTCCTCCTTTCCTGCCCTGCACCTCTGGTCTCACCTGGTCCTTTACCCCAGGTTTGTCACTCTTTACCCTGGGGATGTCATCCTGACTGGGACCCCTCCGGGTGTTGGTGTATTCAGGAAACCTCCTGTCTTTCTCAAGGTAGGTTGTTTAAAAGGAGGAATGGGAGAAGGGACCTAGCAGGCCTAACAGGCTTGGTTCAGCCTTGTGAGGCTCAAGCCTATGTGTGTGTGGACATGGCAGACAAGACTGACAGCCTCATGGTATGCTTTGTTGCAGAAGGGTGATGAAGTCCAATGTGAGATAGAAGAAGTAGGTGTCATCATCAACAAGGTGGTGTGATGGTTTCTGCTACAGGCCCAGGACTTAGGACACGAGGTGAAGGCACTTGTTCAGGGGGCCCAGAAGGGAGAAGCAACAGAGCCCTTCCCTCAATAAACTTATCAGGCCAAAGCAGCAACTTGGTTTCTGCTACTGTTTTATAGGGTTGTTTCTAGGAACGAGAGATACACTGCATCTAGTAGGGGCTCTAGGGGAGGGGATGGTAAGGCTGTGGGTTCAAAGACACAAAGACACTGCTGGGTAGGAGTCACATCTTTTATTATACCTCATTTATTACACTAATAGGAAGAGACCACAAAAGATGATCAAACCTCAAGGGTCTTCCCAGTCTTCTCAGTCAGGGGCATGGCTTTATCTGAGGCTGAGGAGTCTCAGCACAGGCTGTCGCCACAGTTCTAGTTACAAATGAACTGCCGGATGAACTTCTCTAGCTTGTCCTGATTGTCCCGGCTGGTGAATGTGGGGGACAGGTGGAGTATTGGGCCTGTAGGGCCTGGCGTCTGCTGCAGCACCTGGGCCATAGGGAAGGACAATAAGCACTCCCCCAGTGGGCACGCTGCCCTTTGCAGAATGCAGTGCGAACTCAGTATTTGGGGCTGGGGGGGGGGGTTACAAGTGCCGCCTGGCAGACTATAGGAATAGAGGAGCCAGTGGTTGGGACGGCATGAGAGGCAGGAAACCAAATGGATTTGAGCCAAGTATCACCCACATATATTCTCAAGATATGCTGGGTCAATTCCCAGGTGGGCACTGCTGAGCTTGCCTGAGCAGCCCTATCAGGGTGTGGGGCTGGAGATGGGAGACAGGAGGACAAGACAATGGTGAAACGGGCCCCTCTCACCCCCAGGTCTCTGAAGGTCCAGATAGCACTCATGGCAAGGTTTGGGTCAGCACACTCTGAAGGGAAGAGAGGTGAAGGCTCTAGGGAGGGCAAGGAGCCACTGGACAGCGGCTTCTCGTGTCCTCCTGTTGATAGAAGGAACCACCTTTCCTTGTTTAAACGGGATCCAAAGGCACTCTAATGTCTGCAGCCCTCATTCCTGGAGTTGGGCCACCTCTGTTACTGCCCAACAGGGGGCAGCAGCCACCCGCAGGCCCTCCCTGGAGCCTGGCTGGTGCCTGAAACTCACCGAAGAACCCATCTTCCTGTGCAGTAGCCTTCAGAAACTCAAACAGCTGCTCCACACAGCCCGATTCTGCCAAGAGAGAAGGCATAGCCCTGGGATCCCCTGTGCAGGCACAACTCCTGCCCTGCGCTCCGCTTCTCCCCAAGGATGGCCAGAGCAGTACAGGCCTCACCAGTGTCTGGCAGCTGCCCCTGATGGAGGAAGGCCACAGCGTATGCAAAGGCCTTGAGCAGTGGGCTGAGCAGGCGGCAGAGGAAGAGGAAGAAGTCAGGGCAGCGAGACTGCTGACTAAGCTGGAGGGGACAGGCAGGGTGAGGGCAGGCTCACTGCCCCCTCCAGCCTACCCCCTCCCCACGGGCTTCTCCGAACGCACCCTGAAGTACCGGCCCTCAGCCTCTTCAAATTCATCGCTGTCGCTATCAGTAAAATCCCCACTTGGTTTCCATAGCAGCTTTGCACTCAAACGCTGTCGCCCTGTGTCACAGGCTGGCCGGGAGCCTGGCGTCTAGGGGTTACAGGAGCCATTGGTCCCTGTCAAGCTGGCCAAGGCAGACCAGGCCCATCAAGCAAAAGTAGAAAATGCAAATCTAGGGAGCCCAAAAGATACCCAGGGCCATGCCAGACCATGATACCTGCAGAACAACTTGAATTTTGTTCAGTCTGGTCACAATGAATACATACCAGCCCGGGGCAAATGTGGTCCACCAAATTCCAAGGAAGAAAGTAGCAGGAGCCACACTCACCCCACAGCATACACATTGCCCAGAGGAAGCCAGGCTCTTGACAGGGGCTTGGTCTCCGATTACCCTGCCTACCTCCTCAGCAATCAGGAGCCCACACTGGATGAGACGATCCAGGACCTCTTGGCAATAACAGTAGGAAGACTGGCAGGGCTGAGGAGAGAAAAGTTTCCATATGGTTTCAAGAGGCAGGTGAAGGGCAAAACCCTGGCCAGAGGTGTGGGAAGAGAGCTACTGCCATAGGTTTTAGGAATGAGGCCCAGGCAGGCCTGGGTCCTTCCTCTCACCAAGAGGGTGTTGGCACAGGAAGGTACTGGGCTGGCAGGGGAGGTCTGACCTGCAGCAGCAGCAAGTCCTGTGGTAGCAAGTGTAACAGCAGCAGGATCTGGCGATACAGCTCGTTCTGGCTCAGCAGCTCGATGCCCTGCAGCTCCCAGGGCCCCTCCGGTGGCACTCTGCCTGCAAGCAGCCCTCGGACCGCACAAGCTGGGGAAGGGACCTGTGAGGACACTGCTCCCTGCATCCCCAGATGCCTCCCACCCACCCCGGCTGTGGGCACTCACCACCCACCGCCTCACTCAGGAAGGCAGGCAGCAGCTCAGCACTCAGGTGTGCGAGGTGTGTGCGGCCTAGGCCAGGCCGTGGGACCACCAGCAAGTCCCCCTGATGGACACGCAGTAGGGCAACATGCTCCCGCAACAGGCTCAGTGTGTGCTGTACCAGGCACCGCAGCTGCCCTGAGAAGCCCACATCAAAACCACGCAGCAGTGTCTCTTCCGTCAGCCAGGAGAACTCCCCTAGGAGCTGGGACAGGAACACGCCCTGGTGGGGGGTCGGGGGGAGTGCAGGGGGCTGAGTAGGAGGGCCACCCTCTCCCAGTTCCCTGCCACACTGTGCCTAAGCACCTACCTTGGGGTGCTTAAACAGCAGCAGAGTTGCCATGATGGCTGTGCTCATCACTGCCGAGCTGGCCACGCTGGCTGGGACCAAGGGAGGAGGATGCTGTTCAGACTCCCCCGGCCCAGCAGCCCAGCCTGGTCCCCCTCCACCTTCACAAGTCTTTGCAACCAAGGACACACCTCTCCAGACTCCCTGGCAGCAGCCACCATCACCCCTCTACCCCACTGCCCCCACAAATCCACCCGAGGGAAGGCTGGTCCTTGAGTGCCACCCTAGTGGAGAATTGGCATTTTATCAAGTAACATGCTGAGAGTCAGCTGGGGAGCTCAGGGACCTCCCCTGACCCTCAGGCCCACCCACCAACCCCCAAGTCTGATACAGAGGAGCACTTAGGACAGTAATAATGGTAACTGTGGTATGAGTCTGCTCTGTGCAGGTACTGTAAAGTCCTCTGTGCAAGGTTCTTTTTGGTCATGGCATCCCATAAACAGCTAAGGCGATCAAGCTCAAGAGAGGTGAGCTGAGGAACCTGGCTAGGTGGCATGGCAAGGCACCAGCCCTGTGCACTGCTGCCTCCCATTGCTCTGTTGAGGGATGTCGGGTGTAGAAACACTCAGAATGGAGGGTCCTGCTGATGAGAGAAAAGCTCCAGAAGAGAAGGGGCTGCTCAGGAACCTGCCCAGAAGGCTCAGCCGCATTTTAGCTCACCATTCAGGACGTGACGACTCAGCCTCCTGACAAGTAGCTGGTCTTCTTCCTTGAGTGCTAAAAGGGGCCCTATTACTGGGGTCCATTCCTGTTCTTTCTCCGTGTCTGGCACGACAGTACTAGGTTAGAGACAAATAGGCAGTAGGGATTAAACCTATAATCAATTATTGGGGAGCCCAGTACTATCTCAAATGTGTCATCCCTTCCCAAACTAATAGTAGGGAGTGCTCCTGGAACCCTGGGTGCAATATCCCGTACTCAAGATTCTCCGATTACAGGTAAGTGGGGGAAGGTTGTGCTTGGCACTATTCTGTATAAACCATGGATCTGTGGTGTAGGAAAGCTAGAGCTAGTGATGTTTGTGTATGGGAGGAGTGCCAGCTTAGACCTACAGCCAAAGGGCTGCTTGCCTTGCCCCAACACCCACACACATCCCTGTGCCTACCATTTGCCCAGCACAATGGGCTGCAGCAGCTGCTCCAGGGTCTGCCTGCTGCCCCAGCAACTTCTGGCGTTGATGGTGTATTCCTGCTCAAGATAAAGGCTTCATACTATCTGCCTGCTCCATGGGAAACTTGCTTATCTGGATGAGCAAGGCTATCTCTGTATAGGTTTGGGGATTTTTGGGGGGAAGGAGCATACCCATCATTACTCATGACTTACTCGTGGCTCTGTGCTCAGGGATCACTCCTGGTGGGGATCCAGGGACCATAAGGGATTCCAGGGATAGAACCCAGGTCTGCTGCATGCCCTACCCACAGGGGTTTTTACAACCAAGAACCAGAAGCTCCAGGGAAGACCTTAGATATTTCAGCCTTGCACCAAAGGTTCCATACCTGCAAGGAGAAGGGCTGGGCCAGGTGCACACGGACGCAGGCCCGGCGGTTGCAACCCCAACCTCGCAGGCTCCGCAAGACAGCCAGAGCTCCTGTCCATAGCCCCAGTGGGGCTGAGACCTGCAGGGAGGAAGTGCTCAGTGCGTGCTCAGTGCACACTCAGGGCACTACTTTCTGCCCAAAATCTATCTCAAGGCCAAACTGGTACCTAATCTTGACAGTAATTTTTTCACCCATGCAGAAAATCTCACTGGGTCTTTTGAGGATGAAACTGATGGTACCAGTCTTAACAGCGATGATCACAGAGGGTTCCCTTTGCACTTCTCACCACCCAGTCCCAAACAAAACTTGACCATAGGACACAATATTATGTCTCCTCTCTGGAGACAGTATTCACTTGGGTCCCTGAGGCAGGAGGAACTCACATGATATGCATCATGAAGTGCATCTGGAACCAGGTCATAGGTGATGGCCATTGGCACCAGTGTAGCATCTGAGACAATTCCCACCTGGACAGCCTGTACTACTGATCCTAACCAGGCCTGGCCCAGGGCTGACATCCGTGGACCCTGGACCCCAGGGGGCTCCTCCAAGAAGATGAGCAAGGGCTGCCCACTGACCAGCAGCTGCTCCACAGCCTGGAAAAAAGAGGTGGCAGATGACAATACTCAAACAGATACAGGTTCCTCTACCCTCATCCTGGTCCATATACAAGCACCATGGTACTTACTGCATGGACCACAGCCCTTGCGAGGACCCCCTCAGAGCTGTCAAGAGAGAAGTTGGTCTCTGGGGGCAAGAAGAGGCCCCCGAGCTTCCTCAGCAGAGATCTGTGGAGCACAGGACAGAAACTGATGAGAAAATGGGGCTCAGGAGTTAGGACTAAGTGGGTTATTGAGAGCTTTGCCCAGCCATGGTCATCCAGGACCTGCATGAACACTGAGGCCAGGCATAGTCCTAAGGCCCACTGCTGACCCTCCATGAGTTCCTCAGGAGGCTGACAGAGGTGGAGAGCAGAAAGGTCAGGAATAAAGCTGGGGGCTCTGCCAACACAGCTCCCTGTACATCCCCACACCCTCCCTGCCTGAGGATTTCTCTAATGGCTGTCTAGAGGCACGAGACTTTACCTGAGTGTGGGGGAGCAGATGCGGGGGTCCCAAGCAACACGGAGTACACCAAGGCCCTGAGAGAGCAGCACGAAGGGCAGCAGAATCCCATCCAAGAGTGACTTGTGGGTACAGAGGAGGACAAGCGGGGAGCCCTGCTCCAGGGAGAGCCAGAGGGAAGTGTTAATCCCCCTCTCTCAAGACTGAAACTGCCTCCAGATCGAGGGCAGCCCCAGAGGGAGGGGGATTCAGCTTAGCCGTTCTTCCTGTGAGCAAATTTCCCAAAAGTACAGCAGCTCTAACAATTTTAAGGTAATGTACTAAAGTAATGGTTAAGACCATGATGAAAAGACGTTAAAGGAAGTCCTGAGGGAGCAGGACCGTGAGACCATAAGAGAAGGTCGTCACAGAGCAGTGGATTTTTCCCACCAGCTGAGAGGGATGGTCCCGATTTCAGGGCCTGGCCCAAGCTCTGCCCCCTGCCCCCCTCCCTTCCCATCCCAATGGAAGGCGGGCCTCACCGCCTGCACAGCCTTGTGGACCATCTTCAGCTGACCCTTGTGGAGCTGCACATTCAGGAAGAGGCAGTTCAGGAATCGCAGCAGCGCCCAGCTGAAGAGCCTGGGGAGTGATATGGCTGTCCACCTGGTGCTCCACAAAGGCAGAACTTATGATCCCCACTTGACCAAAAAGGAATTGTGACTCGGACATGACAGAAGCTGAGTAAGAGAAAGCTGAGAAGTGGTAGTGGTGCTGGGATGGAAAGTGGGTCTGACACTCATGCAATGCTCTGTGAGATTCTCAACTCCCAAGATCTCATGGTGGGCTTCATAGCATCCTATCTCCATTTATCCCAAAGGAGATCAGAGGTCAAGACTCTCCACAAATGATCCTGAAAGGTCTTTTCCCACAAGCAAGCTGTTGGGAGAAGTGAAATAAATGGGGAGTTAATGATACTTGAGAAGGGATAGCTGAAGGGACAACATCCAGAGGCCCAACGGGACACCAGCTTTAGTGACAGTTGTCCTTATATAAATGCAGAAAGCATATAGATTTGGTGCACAGGCATGACAGCTATGCTTCTGACAGCTCCCATTTCCCCATGAAGCATAGATGCAGCAGCAGCTAACAGTGGGAAGTCTGAGATGTAAGCCTATGTACCCCTTTGAAAATTTCACTCATAAAAGAAACCAGTTGTTCAACCAGTGTGGTTTTTTACTAATGGTCCTGCCGCTTATGTATATCTACAGAAGGTAGGTATCCATGGTCAAACAGAAGTGGGTTGTGCCCAGTCCCTCCTTCAGAAGGCGTTATTATTACAAGAACTAAAGTTAAGCCATGAAAAGCAGGAGACACTGGTATAAAGGTGGTTAGATCAAGCAACTGACAGTCTGAACAGTAAAACAAACTATTACTGGACAACTGGTCAAGGTCACCAATAACCTCATTTCCTGTCTTGCTCAGGTGGCCTCTTTCAAGACTACTGAGTCCAATATGCACAGCTCTGCGCAACTCTTTCTCTCACTAACTCATCCCCAGGTTTTAAATATAATTTATTTGCTAAAACTCTGCAAATATATATGTTCCTGACCCCAATCTCTCTCTGAGCTCCAGACTTATAAGCAACCTGCCTCATTCTCTTTACCAGCATGAAGACACATGCAATCTTATGATCAATACAACCTTTGTGAGCCCAATTCACTCCACTAAGTTTGCCCCTTCTGTCCATACCACTGGATTCTTGGCCAGAAACCTTGTCTCCTGAGTTCTCTCATACCTTTCATCATGCTCTTCTAATCCCTGCAGTCCAATGCATGAGGGAGGAATATACCTTCATATAGCTCACTCAATCTACCAGCTTCTACTGTCACCACCACATTCCACCTAACCATTGAAGCAGGCAGGCAGCAAAAAAGGAAAACCCCCTGCCTCACCCCCACCCCCACCATGACACTGAATTCTTGGGAATTAATAAAACCAACTAGCCCTAAGGCTGCTAAAAACCCACTTTGTGAGCACAGGAACTAAGGTCTGATAAGACCTTTACCAGGCACCAGGACTGACCAGAGAAGCCCCAATCCCTCTGGACAGAAGCACCATAGGCCAGAACAAAGGCCAGGAAAGCGCCAAAGGCAGGAAAAAAGGCCAAGAAAAGAATTTCAAAGAAGACTATCCACTGTGCCAAACTCTACCCTTTGGCAACCACCCTAGCAACAGACTATTACCTAGACAAAAAAATCCCATGTGGGACAGGTTGGGAAAACCCTATGAAAGCCAACTTGAACAAAGGAAGCACATGCACATATGCTGCCCAAGACCATTGCTGCTTGTGCTCATGTGTTACTGCTGAGTGTATGTGGTGCTCAAGCATGTGTCGCCCACATCTCCCCTCTTGAGATGTGTACTTTCATACCTTCATATTTTGACACTGGGATGTGTACTGGGGCTCTCTCTTTCTCCACCCTAGAGAGGCCCGTGTTCTCTCTCCTACCTATACCCCCTCTCCCTCTCTCTCCCTATCCCCCTCCCTCCCACCAGCAGCATCATCAATCAGAAGTCTTCAGTTCTCTATTCTTGATCCCAACCAATCCCATCATTCCCTGTTTAAAACCATTCCAGTGACTGTGAATGTAGCTCTGTAGAGAATACTAGCATATGTGAGGCCCTGAGTTTGATCCCTGGCATCACAAAACAGTAACAAAAAATTATATTGGCTTTAACTTAGAAATCAATGCAGGGGTTGGAGAGACAGTACAACCAGTAGTTGTACTGTCTCTTGCCTTGCACACAGCCAATCCGAGTTCAATCCCTGCCACTTCATATGGTCCCCTAAGCCCTGACATGATCCCTGAGCACAGAGCCAGGAGTAAGCCCTGAGCATCACCAGGTGTAGCACAAAAACTATAAATCAATATAAACTTCTATGGCTCTATTCTTCTGATCCCTTAACTTCTCAAATTCATCTCTGACAGCTCTCTCTCTCTCTCGCTTAGCCTACTTCCAACTATATCAGCTTAAAGAAAAAAAATCAACCTTTTCCTGGGGCTCACACTACTCCTCTAGTAAGACTACTTTCCTGTTATTAGACCCAGAAGCTAGCTCTTTTCCCATTTTTTCCCCTTGTAAGTCCCTTCAATACTCTCTATTCTAGCCCCATCCATCCTTGCAACTATGCATCTGTTCTCCCTGACTTGTGTATCCCTTTACTCATTGAACCAGTGCTCTGAATCCATAAAAAGCTCCAATGTGTGCCAAATGTGAGAGAAGCTGGTATGAATATAGGAAGGAGGATGGGTGCCTCTAAGATTAGGCAACCACTATGCCTCTCTCTTTATATATATAGGAACCTGGCCTGTGGGAGGGGGGGGGAGTGAAAGGCTGGAGGGGCTATTAAGAGTCTAAGCCAAAGCTGAAGGTTCCTGGAGTGCCCCCCCCAGGCACCTACCCCCAAGAAAGATAACACCCAGGTGTGTACAGATGGGAACCTGGGCTAAATGTGAGGGATGACTCATATCACCCACCAAGGAAGAATATGGCTTCCTTGGTGCTTCCAAGATCTCATAGGATTCAGATCAGGGGTACCTGCCCTCAGGCTTTCTTGCAAACATACTAACTGGCTCCTGATGAGAGGAATTGATCTCCCCAAGCTCAGCCCACACTCTCTCTCCAAAAAGCAGGGGTTCTAGCCTCTGAACGAATGCCCTCAGCAGTTACCTGAGCAGGAAGGAGTGGCGTGGGGCCTGAATGTGGCCCAGGATGTGTTGCACCTCTTTCTTCACAGAGCTGGGCAGTTGGCCGTCCCCAGCCCCTCCTGAAACCCTCCCTGAGATGATATTCTGTATCCTGTAACATGAGGGTAGTGGTCAGGCTGAGGCAGAGCTGCAGGAATTCACCCTCGCCCTTTAAACAAAGGCCCCATGTAAAGATAAGACCCAGCCATACCTGCCTGGAATCCATGTCATCCCTTCAAGGATCCAGAAAATTCCACCCAAACTCTATTCCCCGCCTCCTCACCCAGAGCTTTCCAGGATCTTCTGTGAGTCGTCTTGGCAAGGAGGTATGTGCTGTTCCAGTGACCACAAGAAATAGCAAAGCCTCCGAACCAGCCAGCCCCGAAACCTGGACAAAGCCCCCAGAGCAGGGAGAGAGCTTTCAGAGGTCTATACTCAACTAGAAAACTAGAACGCACAAAGGGTTCTTTCACCCCCATGGTCTAGGAACACATGATCTGGCTTATCACAGAGCTGGGAAAGGAAGCACCTGCCTGTCTAAGCCCTATTTCCACCCCTAGCCCTGCTGAATGGGGTAGACTGCACATACAGCAGGCAATCCATAAATGGCGGCAGAAGATCCATAGAAGAGCTCTAATGCTGCTTCTTCCTGCTTACAGGTATGGAGACGAGGCTAAGAGCCTTCTTTTTACTCCTCAGAGGAAGAGAATTACTCCAGCCACCCTGCACCCAAGGCCCTGCCCAATCTCTACCCAACCCCTAACTGTGCCTACCTGGTATTCTCCTCCTTTACCAGGATCACATTGCAGAAGCCCAGATCCATTATGCTTCTGTGGAAGAGGGACTCCTGCCAAAGAGAAAGCAGGAACAACGTGTCCTGTGGGGATCCTTACAAACCAGCAAAAGAAATTCCTTGCTCTGTCTTCTGTGGTATTTTTGCCTGAAGGACTAAGGAGTCTACCAGGAGAGTGGATTATGTTATAGTATTTCCCCAAAGATGGCCAACCTCAGATCCTGAAACTTGGTTAGGAAAAGAGTTCCGTGGTGAAAAATGAAGGGCTGCATTCTCTACAGTCTCTCTTGGACAGTAGCAGATTAAAAGTCTCTAAGGTCTTTCATCAACAGCGGAAGGGACACAGCCTAGATCTCCATCAGAACCCTGTGTCCCATTGGTACCTGCACAAGACATGCATGTACATCAACATGTGCTGGGGGAACAGTGAATAGGCAGTGTCCCCAAAACTGTGCAACAGGATTTGTAGAGGTCTGGCAAGAGTCCAAATGTGTGGCCACACCCTAATCTCAGACCTTTTTGCACTTCCCCACTCAACTCTCCCAGGCCTGGGAGCCAGATCTGTGGTAGTCAACCCCACATCAACAATATGACAATACAGTGTATCTACATTACTGCTAGTGAAAAGGCAAGGCTCTTTCATGCCTCCTTCCCTCCACTCTTAGCAGGGGAAGGTGTAGCATGAAAGGACATAGAGGAAGTTGCTTCCCAGGCTGGAATCCTGGCCCTCCATCACTCACCCAGCTCTTGGGAGTGCAGGTCTGGCAGCAACGACCCACAAAGGGGCGATACTTTCCCAGAAACGGCGTGACAGCCTCCAGTTTCATCCCAAAGCCTGAGGACCAGAGGATGGTCTAGAAAAGGACCACATGGAGAGATGAGAGGACTCAGAGTCCTTAGCAGCGGGAAGGTGGTCCAAGAAGGAAGGGCAGAAGAGGGGAGGGAAAAGAGAAGAGGGTGTTCTGGGAATGGGTGAGCCACAGTACCTCCTGGGCATTCTGACTGCTCCTCTGCTGGGTTTTGAGTCTGGATTCCAACATGGTGTCCATGGAAGCCTTATAAGCAATGAGAACTAGTCACCTCTGTCTCCAGTCTTTACACCAGAACCTAGGGAGAGGTGGGAGGACAGAGGAGTTCAAGAGCATGAACCATAATTAGGGATTCCTGAGTTGATCCACAAATTCATATGCCTAGCATTGGACAGACAACACTCAGAACAGCAATGCTGAGAAACTATACTAGAAGTTGGTTTTGAAGAGCAAAACGCTGCAGCCTATATACAACTGGCCCCTCTAAGGAACCAATGGTGTATCAGATTAGAGGTCCCTGCAGCTAACAGAAAGAATATTATTTTACCTACAACACCCACCTTCCATCTCCCAGCAGAGTTAGGAACTGTACTAAAAACTCATATCCTTCCATGAAGAGGTAAAGAACAAGACTGACTTGGCAGGAAAAAGACATGGGGCTGCCAAAAGAGGAACAGAACCATTGACAGAGGCTACCAAATCCTACTTAATGTTCTTCTTTCTACTGCACACTGGAAGCAAGCCCTTTATCTATTAATCATTCTAAGAATGGGGCTAGGTACTAGGTGGGGACAGTTGAGAACACACCAAAGAACCACAAAGACCCATTCCTAAACAATTTGCATCTGATTTTGACAAGACAGAATTTTACACAACCAAGTCACTCTTACAAAGCACTTTCTACAGAAGAGCCCACACTGTATCTCCTTAGCACCTTCCCTTCCACAGCAATATTCCCCTGCACATCTGCCCTTCATTTAAAGAAGTAACAACTAGGAGGCAGGGGAGGGGTAGGATATGTGTGTGGGGGGGTGTACTGGGGACACTGGTGGTGGAAAATGTACACGGGCGTTCGATCATTGTAAGACTGAAACTCAAACGTGAAAATTTTGTAACTGTAGTTCACCGTTATTCAATTAAAAAAAAAACACCGACTAATCATGAACAGCTCAGTGATTCAATAAAATAAAAAATTAAAATTAAAAAGCATTGAACCCCTCCTGGCCCAGAGATTGGGCTCCAAAACACCCTCCATTTTAACCATTCACGTTAGCCTCATCCCTGACATACACGGAGCACATGGGAGTCTCTTTCTTCTCCACCATCCCCCACATTCTACCCAGGGATCTAAATCCAGGACACCTGAATCTCCTTGAGGCTTTTGCTCTCTTCCTTGGTTCACCTGTCCAAGCTTGCAGCACAAAGGGGTCTCTTTTTGAGCTGAGTTCTACCTTCTTATTTTCAAGTGCGCAATCAGGGGCCAAAAAGATAGTGCACTTGGCGAACCAGGTTCAATCCCTGGTATCTCATATCCATCCCCCTCAGCGCTCCAGGAATGATTCCTGAGTACAGAGCCAGAAGTCCCGAACACAGACAGTGTGGACCAGAAACAAAAACCAAACAAAACCACTTACTCATCTCTGTCTGCCCGGCAGCCAGCACACCCAGAAGGGGCCTCAGAAAGTGTTAGACGGGTTCCAGAATTCCTGCGGAAGATCCCACCTCGGGTACTTTAGAATCCGAGAGCCAATTAATACCCAGATGGTGATTCCTACATGACCTAAACTCTGCTGGGCTCTTCCCAAACTACCCAGAGTACCCGCTACTCACACCACCATTCAGAGATATCTGGCCTACGGGAGTTCCCACACCCTGACTGCCCCCTGCTTTGCAAGGAAGATCTCTGCTCCCCAACCTCCTAGCACCCCATTCCCAAAATCTAACGTCCACGCTCTGAGCCCTAAAAAGGAGGCAGCGCAAATTATAGGGTAAGGGGGCTGGAGAAATAGCACAGCGGGTAGGGCATTTGCCTTACACACAGTCGACCCGGGTTCGATTCCTAGCATCCCGTATGGCCCCCGAGCACCGCCAGGAGTAACTCCTGAGTGCATGAGCCAGGAGTAACCCCTGTGCATCGCTGGGTGTGACCCAAAAAGAAAAAAAAATTACAGGGTAAGGGGTAAATTCCCGTTCACCAACTAAGTCAATTCCCTGCTCTGCTCCTACAGTCCAGAGGTCAGTTCTGGAAGGTTCCCTCCTTGCACCTGCAGTCCCTCTCAGTCACAGATCTATCTGTAGCTTCTCCCGTGGATGCTCCCTTCCCCCGCTTAGGGGCTCCCAAGCTAAGGTAGAGGACCAGGTTGGCAATGCAAGGGTCAAATGCCACTCACCTACAAAATAGCCTCCAATTTGATACCGGAATGCCAACATTTAAACTTAAAGGGTTCGTTATAAAATTATTTTTTTTAAAAAAATAGGTTTTCCGGGACTAGAGCAATAGCAGAGCGGGTAGGGTGTTTGCCTTGCACGCGGCCGACCCGGGTTTGATTCCCAGCATCCCATATGGTCCCCTGAGCACTGCCAGGAGTGATTCCTGAGTGCAGAGCCAGGAGTAACCCCTGAGCATCGCCGTGTGTGACCCAAAAAGCAAAATAATAATAATAATGATAATAATAATAATAATGTTTTCCATCTGCCATTGTCTAAAAATAAATTTAAAAAAGGGCTAACACATGGCATCTGGGCACGCTACCTCACAGCCCTGGGGGCGGCCCCTCAGGGGCCCACTGACCGCCAGCGCGTGGCCAGGCCGGCCACCCTGGTCCAGAGCTCCCCTCCACAGCCATCCAGCTTCCTGAAACGTCAAGGAACCTGACGCTGGTCTTCTCTGACAAGGCAGGCGGGTCCCCACCACCCTCCGGCCCCCCACCCCGCCGCGTTCCCCGAGCAGAGCCGGGCTTCGGTCCTGGGTCTCGGTGACAGGCGGCCGCAAGCTACGCCAAGCCCCTCAGACGGCTCCTCCTCGGAGCGGCCTCACGCCATGGAACTCCCCCTGGGCGGCATTCGGGCCCACCCCAGAAATCCCCCAGGAGAGGGGGCCACGCTGGTGACCCGAGGGGTGAGGCCTGTGGGCAATCCTAGAGTCATCCCGACCGGACCCCGCTCGGGAGAAGCCCCACAGGTCTCACCTCACACCCGTCGCCGACTCCCGCCAAAGCCGCAGGAGCCGAAGGCAAGGCCGGAAGGCGCTCACGGCCCGGAAAGGCAGCCTCAGGAGCCAATGAGGATGCACGTTAGGCCAGAAGGCCCGCCTCACGCCTCGTGGTGGGCGGTGGGTCACGTGACTTGGAGGGCGGCGCCCCCTGAGCTGCGTGGCGTGCACCTGGCTGTATGTAGGCTGGGCGCTGAGCAACTTCCAGGGCAGGCCCGGCAGAGTCAGGGGGTTCCCTGGGGAGGTCTACGAGACAAATAGAAATAAAAAACTTTGTTGCAGGTAGACCTGCTGCCGAGCAAGGGTTTCGGCTCTAACAGAATTCTGACTTGAGGACTTCAGCGTCAAGAAAAACAAATCCTGGTGGGGCACACGGCCAACCCGAGTCCAATTCCCAGCATCCCATATGGTCCGTGTGTCCCCCACCCCCCACGACCACCACCAGGAGTGATTCCTGAGTGCATGAGCCAGGAGTAACCCCTGTGCATCACCGGGTGTGACCCAAAAAGGAAAAAAAAATTTGCTCTCCCCCAGTTCCGTTTCCTGTTAGAAGACGAGAAGTTAGCTCACCACTGGGGCTTCTCAAACTATTTCCACCCACAGTCCCGTTTTTGCTTGAGAAATGTTTGTGTGACCCCCTAGGGTATATTGCTAAATGAAACAGTATATACACACATTCACTGATAATAAATCAAGAGTTTATCTTACGACAACACTTAATAGTTATCCCACCACATGTGCGGTCACACCCACAGTTTAAGGTGTGAAACTCTAGGGCTCAACCTTTTTCTTTCCTCTGACTCCCCTTTCTTACGGGGTTGGCCCCCCTCCTTCATGCTCCCTCCATTTAGGTCTCTGCACCCCTGGAACGTCCTGGGTCGTGGGGTTGAGATGCTACTCTAGAACATCGCTGAGGAGGCACTGCAGCCGCAGGGGCCCACTGTCCCTCTGCTATTTCACTCAGCCAATTCTTGTATCAGACATGAGCGCCAACTGAAGGGAGCCCTTAATGGTTCTCTCAGCTTTAGGAGGTCGGGGGGGAGAAAGAGGGTTTGGGGCCACACCTGGCTCTGTGGTTAGGAATCACTCCTAAGTTTGATCCCAGGAACCTACATGGTCCGCAAATTTGAAGCAGGGTTTGCTGCTTTCAAGGCAAGTGCCTTAACCCCTATAACTATCTCTCCAGCCCCATTCATTTGTCATTTAACTGTTCCAGCACACACAGCAGAGGACTAGCAAATGGTAGTCACCTTCCCTAGAAATGTGAAGTTGGAAATGATTTACTGCTTTTTTTGTTGATGTTTTTTGTTGTATTTGGGGGGTTAAAACCAACTCCGTGCTCAAGGATCATTCCTGGTGGGACTTGGGGGATCATATAGGATGCTGGCGATCAAAACCAGGTTGGTCACATGCAAGACAGTACCCTACCCACTGTACTGTCTCTCCGGCTTCTGACTGCTCTGTTGCTGCCCTCCCCTTCTCCCCACACGGTGGGATGAGCCCACGCCACATATAGGAGAATTCCAGTTTCAGGACATGTGGCACAAATAAGCCGAGACACTTCTGAGACTGACTAACCTGTAGCAGAAAATTGGTTCGCATCTTTCCCTTGGACTCACCACCCCTTAGGTCACTTCCCACACCCTTCCACTCAGGTGTCCTTGACTCTCCAATTTTTGTGCCACTTTGTGTATACCTTAGCCAGGCCCTATCTGCCCAGATCCACTCACATTATTGGATTCCTTCTAATATTTGCAAATCTATATTGTACCCAGGATGCCTTTCTTTTATATCTAGATTCCTGGACCACAACCAGACTCAGATTCTGAAGCTGAAAAAAGTAATTGTCTATTGCCTCTTAAAAAATACTTGAGTTTACTTACCATTTGTTCTGGGAACACCACCTGTAAAGGTAGTTAAGTGTCCCAGGTCCCCCAGATTTAATGCTGAAAAGGGGCCCCTAACAGATGCTTCAGGAATGTTTGTATAAAGAGCAAGAGCAGAGGGCCCACTGGCCATCTAACAAGAG